ACAACATGTCATGAATTCTTCTTAACAAGTTTCTTTATTCATAAAAATAAACAAGTGTCTACATCTGGATTCTGATAAACTACGAGAGACCAGTATTACAATGACATTTTGATGCCAGGTAAGGACGATAACCCAATATTGTAAAATGAAATTAATAGACTTTTACGTCCTATCTTTCAGCACTTGATTAGGCTAGTGGAAAGGCAAAAGGTTTGCATTGGTCAATGAGTGCTATTTTGCCAGAACAGTGGCATTATAATACTGATTTTATATTTCCAACAGTCGATGGATCTTCAACAAGCAGAGCCTGGAACGCGGGGAATAGGATTAATGACCAACCCAGTACCCAAGCCTCGCCCCCCCCCCCCCCCCCCCAACCCGCATCATCGAAAAATCCAAAGGTATTATCACGACCGATGCTGGAATTGAAGCCTAGACCTTTAGATTAAATTACTGGGATACAGCGGTTCGCCTCAGTATGTTAAAGCAATATTTAAACAATGCGTTCAATGGGGATCAGAATCTGAAAGCAACAACCACGAGCAACTGGTGGCATCTAGGAGAATTTGGCCAATCGCTAAATTTTGTCGAACACACAAATGGAGTTATAAGCGCTTCCAGAATGACTACGACTGATCAAATGCATGTAAATACACATAGCTTTAGAAACCACTAAAGACATGGTTTAAAACGCGAAAGAATGTGACCTAACAGAAAATGGGTACAATATTCACTAAATAACCTTAATAACATTAGCACTGGTACTGGTACAGCCTATCTGCATTCCGGTCGTATATTTCTGGTACGAGATGATAAAGTAAACTCTGACCTATATATCATAATTCCAGTTATAAATTAATTCAACCTTTCATACGGTTGTGATTAATTACTAACTAATATTGCTAATATCCTACAATCGTATCAGTATGAATGTAAAAAGGTCGAATATTGCCTCGGAACATACAGCTCTAAAAGCGTAACACCGCAACTGCATATGAAAGAAGGGAAGCGAGTAAAAAAAGAACAATTATGTTAACAAACATAAAGGTTCACAAAGTATCCTCTCTACTAGCTGGTCCGTGGCAGAGCCAAAGGGGGGGGGGGGGGAGCAGAGGGTTACCACCACCAACCCCCCAGCGCCCCCTCACCTGCCCCTCCCCCCGCAGCCCTGGGCAAAAATCTCATAACTAGGTTAGAAATTCGGGCAACGTCAGGCATTTCGCCCCACTTCGGACATAAACCTGGCTCCGCCACTGGGCCAAACTTCTTGGCAGTGATCCTTCCCGGATTATCCGCACTCAGTTTTAGAATAATGAAGGTGACTTATTCAACCACCATTATTTTGTTCGGCGCACGCAATAGAAATAACTGAAAAATGAATAGCTATCACTGTTAGATTAATACCATTTCTTAATAAGTTACCAGTTTTAGTAAACTGCATGAACGAAAACTGGAATATAATCGAGTCCTTTAATAAACTATAAATAATTTATTATAAATAAATAATCTGAGTGGATTAACTGGTATTAACCACGGCTTAAGCGAGTGTTTTGATAGATGTCTATTAATGTCCACTTCATAGTTTTAAATAAACTAGTGAATATACTAAATTACACGTTACAAGCACTGGATAATGGTAACTATTCAAGGGGAAATCTCACTGAATATGGAAAATTGTGTTAAGTAATAAGTAAGATTGATCTTATGGATTGACCAGATTTATAGTTAATTATTTCGGTTAATCTTCTATCTCATCAAGTGAATCGGGATCTTCATACGGAAGAGCGGGGTAGAGGTTTATAAGCTGATTTATATATATAATATCATTAATCATATCAGTCATTATTTCAATTGAATGTGATATAATAATAACTCTTGATATCGTTTTACGTTCATGATAGAACTGTCACTTTTGTGAACCTTTCTCCGCAAATTTTGGTCCGAGTACGGATACCAATAGATTAGTGGGATAAACAAATAGTTATGCCCATTGAAAATCTAATAGCAGGGTGTGCTTACTCTTCTTAACACCTGATACCATTTTTCATTATAATATACTTACTCACTTATGATTGATATACTTCCTCACGTCAAACGTTCATTAGCTGCTATACTAATTTTTCGCCAATATGTTGTTTGGATTTCGGATTTTGTTTTGCTGTTCAGGTCGTTAGTATTTGGTTTATTCATTCCGGTTAAAAATTTGAAGATGGATAAGGAAGGGCGTGGCGATTGACATAAAATTATGCACAGAAAAACTGAAATTAAGCATTTCATTCAAATGTGTAGGCGTATAATTCAGAAGCAAAACACTGAAATATGCCAAGGTTCTATTGCAGCAAATTCCTAATTTTATTTTTTTTTATCCCTGAAGTCTACTTTATATTCACCGCATTTTTTCTGATTAAATATAATGAGTTAAAGGACCTCCTGTAAGTTTTCCAGCGGACTTGTTGGAAATTCAAAAACTGCACCGGATATGACCTATTTCAGAGAATCGTATTATCAGTGATAATAATAGGTAGCCGAGAAGCCGCATTGAAATCATGGGTTCAAAACCTTCATCAAAATATAACAATTATCCGGTTTTATGCACGAATGTAGCCTATTTTAAAGCACACAGCGGTTTTTCACGTTCATCTTGGAAGACAGTGTTCTATGTCTGTATAGCTCGAGATGACATCTTCTGATTTCATTTCAATGCATACATACAACTGTTTTCTACATGACTTTAATTGGAAGATATAGTATTCCATTGATCACTGTTTTATCCAATTAGGCCGAATGGAAAAAGTAAACTTATTCCCTCCGTATACGCTACTTCAAGCTAGAATTTAGTTCTAGCAGTTGAGAAAGTAAATAATAAGTGAATTATATCCCTTTCTATGAAATGATAACTGATTATTCTCTCTCTACTCTATTCCCACTTCTATGGTCCTGTCAGTATTTGACTCGTCCCTGGGTAGTTACCCGAAACGTTGATTATTAAAATACCACCCCCGGGACACCTGATCAATTTGATAGATGATATAAATACTCTAACAATTAAATTTTATATCACTCTTGATACCTGACTGGTCGAATTTATTTCATCTCTTTCACTTATACTTCTGTTTGAATTCACAATTTGAATAACAAATAGCACCCAATGACTGAAATACAAATCAACTAAATTGTCAAACCATTGTAGCAAGTAAAGCCAATGGCGTTTCTGTTTATTATTAGGTTGAGAAGAGGGGGAGGAAGAGTAAGAGATTGTCAAGGTGTTTCACAGGTAATTCTGTTCCTACGTTAATATACATTATACAGTAGGCTACGGACAACCCCTCTAGAAAGGTAAATTAGATTTGAGAAAATTTAGTGCCTTACATAATATGAGGGGTTTAAAATGAAGTTAACAGAGAGAACATGTTATACAAAACCAAAGTCCAATAGAATTGAACAAGATCCAACTGCCACGACTACCAACAACTATAACTAGTTTGTTTTATCAGTTATTAAAGGTACAGGTATGGGCTATTTTTTCACCACTCATACTCAAACGTTTTTGAGCCTTCAAATCCATCCAGAAATATCCACGATTGAATGTTGAATGACGACTCGTCAATTTAAGATACCCTGTGATATATAGAAAAGACATGTAGAAACTGTATTAAGAGACGGGAATAATGGAAAACGGTCTCCTAACGGTCAGAATATGCAACCGAACTATTTTCTTTTGACAGTCACTTTTTAGATTTAGATTGATGTAATTAATTAAAAATCGTATTAATCTTTTGGAGATTAGCAAATCGCGAATAAACTATAATCCCTTTCTATCTCGTTTGTATGTGAAACCATATGATGTCTATACAAGGGAGATAATGATAACTGTTATGGTTGCCTAATTGAACTGATTTTACTTTCATGGTCGCTGGTCGGATAATGGAGGTGGTTGTTTAGTAGAGGTGGTCTCATGGGCAGGATTCATTGTAGTTAAAGTGAGTAAAATTCCTTGTTTGACATATTTTTAAAGGCATTATGCGATTTTCGTTCATTACTAGTACTTAATTCTGAATCGCTCTGGCGATATGGTGCCTAAAGGATTTTTTATAGCATCTCGATGATCTTTTTCCCTAGATGGGAAGCATGAAATAAATTAGATCTGTAAGCCTACTATACATGTTTTGAACCTATCAAGTTTAAAATGAAACTGGACTCAGTTTGTTGGAAAGTAGGTTTAATTAAATGTAATTTAATTGAAAGAATGTTATGGATATTAAGTTATGTGTCAGAATAATATTATTTGTTCGTCAAGTAGCCTAGTTAATTTTAATTGTTGGTTTATTAATTATCATAATGTGAAAACGAATGCATCACATTCGTACTGAACCGAAGTAAGAAGAACTTTTTCAGACAGGACGACTCATTTTGAGGTAAGCTTTAATTTCAAGGATCACAAAGTACATCCTATAAGATTATTCGATACATGTCTGTAAAGACTGGGTAGTAACGTCAAAGGCAAATGGATTACGTCCCTTGAAAAAGGTACGTAACTCTTCCTTTGTTGTGAAAAGTGAAATTTTTGACGGTAAATTGAAAGTTTTGCTCTTGTTTGCTTATTTCTAGCTCTCTCTTGTTAAAGTGACTAATTGTTTATTATCATGATGAGCAATAGAATAAAAATATTACAGGATTTAGATGTAAAATTAACCTAGAACTAGTGCAGGTACAGGTAAATGGAAACCACTGTCACTGACATTCTTAACACAGATTGACAGAAGGGAGAACGAAGCGCAGCAAAACGACAAGAGAGCTTTTGCGATAGTCTAACATATGCGGTTTTCAAAGCATTTCTATGAAAACAGGAATCACAAACATCTGTCGGAAAATTAGAGTCAAATAGAAGTCATAAATGCCACGATAGGCCTACTCTGCTGAACAAATCTGATAAAATTATTATTTATATTTCAGAGAGAATTGGTTCATTTAAGATAAATTGAAGTTTATTTAACAATAAGATGTCGTTCGTGCAACTTTTACCATTCTTTCTCTTCCTGACAATTTCACAGTCCAGCAGTCAAAGATGGCCATTGTCTGGAACGTGTTATCCATGTTCATGTGACATTAACCAGAAAGGCTTTGGACGAGTAAAATATGTCAATTGCTCAAATTTGGCATTAACGAGAATTCCGAGGAATTTACCATTGGATTTACATACTTTGGATTTTTCCAATAACAGAATTTTGCCTCAAGAGATTCAGCAATTGTGTACGTTTAATTCCATGCAATATGTAGCCTTGTCTTATAATAGTCTTGGTTTCATTCCTAAACAAGCCTTCAGAAACTGTCATGATTTATTTCATTTGAATTTAACTGGAAATAAAATCACCGTTTTAGAAGAGGACACCTTTATTGGACTGACAAATCTGCAAGAAATTTACGGACTTGAAATTGATGAACTGATAGACAATGCATTCCAAAAGTTAAAGAAATTAAAGACACTGCAAATGAAATATAATGGAGACGAAATTCCTAGTAAAGTATTTGAAAATTTGACCATTCAAGATCTACAATTAATTGTTCCACTTCTACAAACTTTACCAAACAAACTCTTGGAATCGTGTGTCAGAACTCTCAAGGAAATATCTATAATTGGTCCAAGAATAACATTTCTGTCAGAAAACATCTTCCGTGGGTTGGCCGTTCTCAACAAAATTTTCCTCGATTTAAGAACCCTTGTCAGCTTACCGGAGAGAATATTTCATAATAATGGCAATACTGAAATGGCATCCTCTAAACCCCAAAATTTACAAGAAATTTGGATTTTAAACATAGATTCTATTCCTCCTGAAATATTCAAGGACTTAGAAAATCTTCATACATTAGTTTTGCACGGTATTTCTTCAATACCAACAACTAATATTTTTGAGGATTTATTTAATTTAGAATATTTAGACATTAATGATTGTCATGTAAATCAGATTCCTGACAACTGGTTCCGCAAACTTTACAGTCTTAAAACTTTAAAGCTACGCCAGACTGGTATACGCTCTATAGAACCAGGTGTCTTGGACGGTCTCCTTAATCTTCAGGAACTAGATCTGTCTCACAATGTCATGAGGACAGCCCAAACGGAAAGTTTCAAGCCCATCGTCCAATCTATACGTAGGATCAACTTTAGGGGAAATATGTTCAAGACAATTGGCGACCATTTATTCGAAAAAATGTATAATTTGGTAGAACTGGATCTCAGCGACAATAAATTGGAATCAATTCACAAAAGGTCCTTTCTGGATTTAAGACAGCTAATAAATTTAGACATTCGAGATAATAAGCTCTCTAATTTGCCGGGTGGATTGTTTAAGAATCTCCGCAATTTACAAACATTAAATTTAGCTATGAACACTTTTAACAATTTTCCTGAAACTCTATTCAAAATAGGTTATCTGCTGAAGTTGGACCTATCTTACAACCGAATACGGCGTCTTCCTGATAGCTTTGTCCACAGTTTCCCGTATTTAGAGTTTTTGAACGTTGATAAAAACCCTCTTCATTGCGACTGTAAGAGTCTCGATGTTAAATTTTATCAACCTAACCTAGTCATAATTGGAACATGTCTATCACCGGACCAGTTTGCCTGGAGACGTTTTTCTGACATTGATGTTACTGAATGCCACGAGGCCAGCAGTTCTCTTGTAGAAATGAGCTCATTAGCGGAGACTGTTTATCCTTCAACTTCCTTCTATTTACCCCAAAGCCAACCCCACACGAGTGTTTACACTGAGTCATCTGCAACTGTGTTTAATTCTAAAACCATAGTCTTATCAACTGAAGTTCTCACCCCCACATCCGTCTTCCCAACACCGTCATTCATTTCAAACGTTACCACCGACCAGCTGGTATCATTGAATTCATCGGTGTTCTTCACACCGACCTTATACCCCATCTCAAGTTCAATCTACACAACACGACCTACGACATATGCCCCACCAATTGTTGAAGAAGGTACGGGCAGGGGAAAAATTTTAGATGAAGTTGTGGTCCGTATTTCACTTGGTGTCTTATGTGGTGCTCTTGGCATCTGTGGTTTTGTGGCGGTTGTACTATGGAGGCGGCGAGTGAAACGAAGAAAACGATACGAGGTTAGAGCCAGCAGTGCCGTGGTTTAAAGATGTGTTAAAATATGCAATCGAATTGTAATAATAAAAGTTGTACAAGAAATTGGTAAATTACATACTGCGAGCGAATTGGAACCATCGCTTATCAAAGTTCGTGTTTAAAACGTGGTACCACACCGTTTGCCAAAGTAGTAGTGGTACAAAATCACTGATGTTGACATTATATATTATGAAATTAATTCTATATTCGAACAGTGCGATTATAACAGGCGTGTGTCAGGCTGCGTTCATCATCATTAATTAAGAAATGTACAGCACAATTTAGACTTAAGTCTTTTCGCATTAACTTGCTTCAATGGTCTGAACAGTCGAAAATCAAAATTTTTCTGTTCTCTCAATCCTATTTTGTGCTTAAAGTTGATAAAATTCACGGAAAATGTGTTATTGTATATATAAGTTAACATATATTTTAAGGGCGTTGTTCCAAAAATTTGGCTGACACTTTATGCCGCAGCAAAAGCGACATGAAACACTTGCTTGTAAAATAATTTTAGGGATAACAAAGGTATGATTTGATTTCAAACCACCTAAACCACAATTGTTTCACAATTTAACAGAAACTTTGCTACAAGGCACAACTGCAAAGTTTCATGTTTTGATCTACCCCTATTATGTAGTATAAACGTAACCATTAATCAACAGAGACTCCTATATGCCTACCACCTTGCTTCGACCAAGGTAAGCGTCCTGTATATTTACAAATGATTGAACTGGACATACTCACGCTCTAAATTAGGTTGTTGACACTTGCTCTTTTGTTAGCTGTAGTGTTTGAGCCTTACCAAGATATACCAGTTCTTATATTATCTGCGGTATGAGATGAATTTCTTGCAAATTATACTGGTTGATATAAGGGCGACAACTCTTGTGTAAAATATAATCAGACTACACTTGAAATATTAAAAGCTCTTTACTTTTTACATGTATAACACAGGATAGGAGGAACATCTTTTTATATATATCATGATACAAATAAAAAAAAAAGGTCAGAAATGTCCCCAAAAACAGCATAAAACAGTAAACTGTGTCCAGACAAAAGTATTTTTACCAGATGCATTCAAAACTATATTTGACACAGATCCTATATCAACTTCAACCAGTGCACACTTGCTTCACATTCATACAATATTTAGTAAAATGATGGAAGAAAGCAATATTTTTATTAGCTTTGCCAATGTTAAAATTATAAAATTCATACTAAAATATATGATAAATTACAGGTCTAAAATATATAATGCTGATAATATAATACTGAATATAATTTATAAATATATATATAATATAATGTACAAATGTTTGCTTAAAAAAATCAAAGCCATTTTGGATAAAGCTGCAATCCAACGCAAGACACAAATTCTTGAAGCCTTTTCAATTGAATAATTAAAAAAAAAAGGTGCCAAATTTTATGGTAACCAATTCAAATACTGTAGAATCCACCATCATGTTTTCGAGAATATCCACCATTGGTTCCAGCACTGTGTGGACTATCTATACAGGATTAATAATTAGTAAAAAAACAAAATTAGTTAATAAGATTAAATCATTAGTGAACTGTGGGTTAATATATCGATATCATTATTTTACCAGTATAAAAATCTCAATACAACAAAAGATATCAATTTGCTTTAGTGATATTAAATAATGATAATGAAATGCCTCTTTCGTCTAAATTTTCTTGTTTTGAAATGGATTGTTCAGTTTTTAACTTTTAAAATTATGTTCACTGCATTCTAGCACACCACATCAATAGGGTTGGCTATATGGGGTTTGATATTTATAAAAAAAAATTTGTGTCTAGAAAAATCTAACATCTATTCTAGCTATGAGCTAAGGTTTACGTTGCTAAATTCTACGTTTGGCACAACATAATTCTGAGACAGATACCTCCCTCAATAAAATAAATATTTTCTAATTATCATAATATATATTTTGTTTTTAAAGATCCAAAGTATGTGACTTATAGTGTAATTGACAATTTCACCATTTATAGGACAAATATTAAAATATCAAACCATAAATTAAAGGGCATGTCTGTGTTAATTAATGAATTAAATAAATTAAAATATTAGTTTGAAATAGAAGTTAGTTAAAAAATCCTCCGTCAGGTTTTCTAGAATAGCCTTTATTGGTCTGTTGACTGTGATGACTTTCTGAAATCAACAGGACAATCTCATGAATTTGGGAGTGTATTATGGAATCTATCTGTATAATATCTTAGAACCCTTCGACATATTGGCTTTCTAAAATGATAATCCTCAGTTTGAGCTATCATTATTTTAGAATGAAAATGTAACATAATTTATGTATATCGGTAATTTCAATAAAACAACCACTTGAAAATTAAAACATGTATCAAAACATGTTCCGTGAAATCAATACTAAATAGCCTACACTTGAATATGTTTTTAAAAGTATGTAAAGCAAGTTATGATATTGACACATTTGATAACTGAATATAGGTCTAAAGAGACAAACAAAATCCCCAATAAAACATACTGATACTGAGACGTCTAAATTTGACAGTTTCAACTATCTTTCCTCCAATTACTTCATTATTTATTATATTAAATTATTTAGCATAAAAGTTTGTATTTATTCTCATGTGTACTGTCAACAGAAATAAGAAAAAACTAACCTATTGCATTTTTAACACTGTGAATGCTTTCTCGTTTAACTTGTTCTGTTATTGAAAGAGGATGATTCATATACATAGGTTCTTTTGGTATAATCTCTTCACGGTTCTTTAAAACTCGACTATGAAAAATAGTATGTAATCCATTAGTTATATTGAATACAAAAGGGAAATAATTCAATATAGCTTCCAAGTTGAAACTAGAAACTGTTAAATCCTAGAAGATTATAGATGATGTTCTTGGTGACTATTTTGATGGCCTGGACATGACAAAAAATATTTTAGGTCATAATTGCAGATATCGAAATACCAAGTCCATAATATTACTAACTGCAATATCATGCTTCATGGTGTTCCATGACAGAATTGTGCTACATCAATTACAGCAAGATAAAAGCTGATATGATACATATTGAACAGATAATACAACTATCATCATATAAGCTTAAGCTTACTAACCCATGATCTAAATTGAGAGTTTCTGGTTGTAATAAAGTTTCGTTTTTATTTCTTAAGAACTCTGCATGATGATCATATTGTGTTTTTAAAACAAAATCTAAACTATCTCTTGGTGCTGCTGGATCATGATGGTAGATTTCTCTGCGTGAACTACATAAAGTTTGTGTTGAGTTCAATCTATTCCATGGGTCAGCTTTCTGAGCAACATGTGTTGGTTGACCATAAGGTTCTGCCTGAAGAAAAATGTGAAAATATAGCCTATAAATGAAAACTTAACGGCACTAAATTTGAGGAACAACAGTCAAAACTGTTGCCTTTAATATCTGCTCTTTACTCTTTGAATTTTAATATTTATCATTAGTATATTGATATTTGAAGATGTCCAAGACCAAGGCTGAGATTGAACTCAGTGACAACAATTTACCACTTTCCAGTTGCATATAGGGATGCAATACATAACAGTTTCATAAGGCTGCATCAAGAAATGAGGCTGTTCCAATCATCTTGTAAAAAAGGTAAAAATAGGTTAAAAAAAAAGTTTTTTCAGTAGAAATTTTATGTTGTAACATTGCGGTTAAGCAATGTTACGAAAGCACAGGCACAGGCACAGGCATGTAGGTGTAACCTCTAGTGATAGCTCAATGTTTGTGAAGTTAGTTAAAAAAAAATGATATAGAAATAGAATATTTGAAATGCAAATCCATAATGACCTAGTCAATAGAATATAATGTTCATCTAGGTCTAATAATTGTCCACTGTCTTTTCAGCAAATTTCAGAGATCAATATTCCTCTTATGAAAAAATGTAGACGAAGCCATAGTTCTTCATGAGTTCAAGTAATTCGTCGTAGAACTAAAAAAATGTAGAAAATATCTAAATTTATTAACCCACCTGTCCTACTCTTGTTCCATAAAAATTATCATCATTTTGAAGTTTAGGAAAAGGATAAGGATCTCTGGTTGACAACATTTGAGCCATTTTCGGTTTCTGAGATAAATGCACTGTCAAACCGGGTAGTCGAGCAGATGTGAATCTAAGTCACAGAGCTTCACTTATCAACCTTTCTGAACAATGGAAGATTATTATTATTGTCATAAGTGCCATGGCAACGCTTGCTCTCGAGAAAATCTCGTAATATCGAGACAAAGTAGTTTTTCTAAAAGATTTAATTTCAATTTTTATTAATAACTGGTTTATGAATAGAAAAGATAAATGTATGATGAAAACAAAAGTTTAAATCGTTCATTTATCACGAAGATAAAAAAAATCGATAATTTACGGATGTTTCCGCTAGTTTCCGTATGTAGTTGTCTTAAAATCTATTTTTAGTTCAGTAAGGTAACAGGTTGATTCAGAAGCACATTGTTTACACCTGAATTTCGTGAGGATAAAATGACGAAGGCATATTAATTTAGGATCTAACACATCAACGAAGTACCAAGGAAGTTGTCGCACTCAGAAACGAGTGAAAAATGTGCAGACAACTATTTTATTGCGTTTTATTTGTGGCCATAAATTTGTTTCCATTCATCTTCTGTGACAAATTGCCTGCCTGCAGACCAGTAAGTAGGCCTATTTTTTTTTATCCTGCACAAATTAGCCTAGTGACGATGCCCTAAAAATTAAAATAAACTAAGAGTACGCTAGGCTACAGTGGTTTACAGTGTCTCATAAGCTTATTTAATGATCATTGATCCATAAAACATGATTTAATGGTCAGCTGAACAAATTGAAGAAATTTTGGAACATTTATTTAATGCTCAAATCGATAGATATTTAAGATTAGATCTTCTACTATTGTCCCACAATCAAATGCATTTTGTTTATAGGAAGATTTCCATTATGAGTATACTGAATGTGACAGTCATGGTGGAAGATGGCGTGTATCTGTACCAGAACCAGGAAAATGTATTGATGGAGCACCCAATGCACCTGTTAGAGGAAAGGACTGCTGTAAGTTTTTAATAGTTTTTCATATAATCTCAGCAGCAACAAGCAAGTAAGGTCTAATGAGACAGGTATTCAGTTCATGCCCAATTAAGTAAGCTTATGTATAGGCATTTCTCAGTTGCATCTAGGTGACAGGGAATCAGAAGCTATCAACACAAGTGTTTTGACTCTTCTATGATATGATTACCGTTATGAATATTTCAATATATTTAATTTAAATTGTTAATGGTAGGCCTACATATTCCCACATTTCAGAACTGTTGAATGATTTATGAGCTCAAAAAGGACAGGCTTATTTTCTACAGTTTGATAGCCAATTATTTGTAGCAAATGTGTCATAGAAAATCTATTATGTTTGCACGCCAGTTTTGTTGAAGTTTATCACAATGATTGTAATAATTAGACTAGGATTACCAGTAATTTATAGTAATTATATCAGGAAACTGTATAAGCTTACTAATGTGTAAGTTATAAATCTAGATATTTGATAACAATTACTATGTACAACAGATGTTACTTTAGACAGGTGCTTTACTTCAAACTCTGTACATATTCCATTCATACTACAGATTACTAATACTGATTTTGAAAATAGGACTTGTAAAACAAGGTCAACTCAGTATGAGCCTACTAATGTTAATATGATCAATGGTTCCCGTTGAAAACTTGACTACCTGACTGTGATGTCATTAATGCCAATATATCATTCAGTTTGAATGTAACATTATTATGTGGTCCTGGAATTTCAGAAACTTAACTGCAATTGAAGCTGTCAATCTCTCTGATAGGACTATACAATTATTTGAAAATCAATATGGTTACTATTTCTTACCACTATAATACCATGACCTTTTCAACTCCCAGACACCTAAATTAAGTTAGATTGTCAATAATTATTTAAAAAGATCAAATGTTTATTAGGTGATGTAATTGACAATATATCTTGTGATAACCTTATCATGACATCAATCATGAGAACAGATGTTACCTCCCAAGCATTAATCACGAATTTGTACAGTACATATTCCAAATGACTGTGAAAAAAAGAGATATGGAAATTCAATTATTGGTTAACAATTCAATGAAATAGATATTCATGTATTATGATTTATCTAAAAAAAAGGATGATTATGGTGAAATATTATTTGAAAAAAAAAAGATGAAAAAATTTAATTCAGAAAATCTAGAGATATTTCTTCCTTTGCTAAGTAACATACATGTTGATTATTATTATTAGTTATGTTGTATTACTGTTCTATAAAATGTCTACATGACCCTGTCTATCTTTGTTAGTTTGAATAAATTTAGAAAAGTAAAACAGAAAGCTATTATTCATTTCATACATGTCATGTTATTAAAAATATATTTTTTTAAAATTGCAGCATTCACATGTAAAGAAGGGGAGTACCTTGACTTAGAAAAACAGGAGTGTGAAAAATGTCCTGCTGGAACTTATTCTTTAGGTGGAGGACTACGTTTTGATGATTGGGAGAAATTACCATCTGGATTCACCATAACAACAGAGGGATTTCAAGGCAAATTTTTATGGCATAATCAAGGTGAAGATGTCAATTGTTCAAAGTAAGTTTCAGTTTATTCATTGTGTTATTCTAAAGGGACAGATTTGCCATTTTTACCTTAGTCTCAGAAACAGGAATTTTTAAGTTAGTAATTAGTGTTCACAGCTCACCGTCAAAATTTTAATGATTATCCATGTTAAAAATGATGACTCGTCTTTTCTCAAGACCTCTGCAGGAGTTATGAGATTTTCAAACAAATCTAGTACTTCTGAAGACTTATCCAAAATACTGAATGATGGTGTTCCCGATGTATTAAGTATCATTGATTTTGTATAAGACCGAGGCTGGGGTTGAAAGATAATTCAAGACCTAAATCAACCCTTGAATATGGCCAGCCTATGCTGTTAAGAGTTTTTATTTGGTGACAGTTTTGCATGTATTTTGACCCAGTTCTATTGAGTTTTTTTACTTGGCTATCAGGGCTGACATAGGTTGATATTTGGAGTTACTTCGTGCATATTCTATGATTTGTGTGATCATCTTTAATTAAATGTTGCCACAGATAGCCATAGTTAACAATATTTTAACTTTTATATCTTTCATCAGTAGATGATATTGAATGTAATATTAGAAGCTTTTACATGCAGCTGACAATAGAAACTTTTAATAAGAACATTTGTATGACGTTCATTTATTATTAATAGTTGTAATATGGTTATGAATGGTTTTTTTTTTATTAAAAGATATTTTTGTGTATGATCACCTGGGTCATTCTTTGGCTGACAGATATTTTAGTTTTTGTGTCCAAAGCCTTTTACACCTCATCGCTTTCAATACCTGTATTATCAGAATTATACAACAAGTGGTTTTACATCTTCTCAAAGCATTTTTTTATCATGATAATTTAAATTAATGGGTCTTATATGTATGTACTGGTGTACCACTGGTACCATAATGGCCTAAATAGCCAAAGGTATCGGTATATGGGATAAAAAACGTTGATAAAAGTTTTTACTATTGCATATGTTTAGATTATGACCAAAAAATATACGGTAATAATTTATTGTGGATAGACTTAGCACTGTCCTTTAACTTACATGAATGGAACTTTTACTTTCAAATTTATGTATATTGCATATGGATTAAGTCTGGTTAAGCTTTAAAGCAGCTTATATGTGTACTTACATATTTGTCTGGAATGCCTGGTAATGTAAAGTATTGACATGTAATGGTACGATAAGCATATTGTATTGTGACATCTTGAATCAAGATGTATTTATATACGGGTCACACTTTGCACACTTCCGCAACGGTCAATTGAGGGCAGAATTGGAACGGGTCAAATTCTCCAATCAAGTGCTACCATACCATATTGTACTAGTTGTTTGCTTTGTTACTGAATTTGTTAACTTTGTGCATCATTATTGAATAATAAAGTGTCATTCAATCCTGTGAACATCTGTTGTTGACATTTCATAGTATAGTAATACAGCTATTGTACAACTGTATAGTTAATATTATTAGTTAGTAATATGTGTAAGTTGACATTAATATATTGTAGTTCAATTGTCATAATTAATTCTGTTTCAGACTATATTCTCTATGTCCTATAACAATATATTTTATTACAGAACATAGACTCACAGCTGTTGGACTACCTATAAAAAATATTCGTGTGAGACACCTAATGAAATGTGTGTAATAAATATTATATATTAGCTTATTTCAATGTATAATCTTTTTTCTGAAATCTATAATTTTGTAGTTTAGATGAGTTAATACAATACTAATAGATATTGTCTATAACATCCCTATACATCATACAAATGTTTTACAATTGAACTGTCAAAGTTAAAGTTTTATTTCTTACACTATGAACATTTAAGCTTATTTATGGCTTAAGAATGGTCTTGCTCAGTCTTAGTCCATTTTTCAAAAAATTTGAGTCACTATATGTAGAATCTTTTTCATTAATCTGCTATTTTTGAAAGAAAATGGTAAAATGTTATTTCAAATCGGTTATACTTCTTAAAATTAAAGTGAGGTAAAGTCAAACAATTTTGGTGTATTTCTTAGTGCATGAATCAATGTTTAAAGATATGAGTCTACTGTATACACATGACGTCATTGTTCAGATATTCAGATATTCAAATCTGTTGATTAGACAACTCAATGTGATCACATTCAAACATAGATGATTATGGATACACTAAGCTGGGTGAAGGCTCAAATCGGTAACATTAGTACTGATTATAGATTAGCACAGAGCACTTTTTGAGACCAAGGAATGATTTACTCCTGGAAATCTCATTTTTTAATCAGCCTTGTTGACTGACCTTTAGTCTAATGCAATTAAGATAATTGAATCCAGGCTTCTTCTGAACTTGAAACCTTGCTGCAGTTTCAGTTAGATTTAGCATAAAAAGGATAATTCTCTACTTTCCAGATGTAATAAATTCTAGATAATTCTATTTTATAGACCAAACTATTGATTATATATAAGCTTATAGAAATTAATTCAACTTATTGTAAACATGGTTTCTAGATGGTTTTAATTATAATAACAGAAACAACAATACTTCTCATATCTGTTACCAATAGTAGAGCATTACTATTCATGGCTTTAAAGTTAAAGCTGTTGAATTCAATTCTCTCCTATTTTGTCTTGATCAGGTGCAATATAGTTTTATTGATCATTTTTATACGCCTACATGAATATGTGGTCGTATATGTGGTCGCCCCTGTCCGTTGGTCCGTCTGTCAACATTTCTTGTGAGCACTATAGAGACTACAGTTTTTATCTGATTTTGATAAAACTTGGTGTGATGCTTTAGATTGATAAGATCTCGGTCAAGTTCGAATTTGACATATGAACTGTTTTTGAGTTATTGCCCTTGACTTAGTACGCCTTGAATTTGTTAAAAATTGTTCGTGAGCAGGATTAAAGCTACAGTTTTCATCCGATTCTGATGAAACTTGGTGTGATCTTTGGAATTCATAAGATCTCGGACAAGTTCTAACTTGACGGATTTTTGATGAACGGTTTTTGAGTTATTGCCCTTGACTTTGTTAAAACGCGTTGAAATTTGTTAAAAATAGTTTGTGAGCAGGATTGAAGCTACAGATTTAAACCGATTCTGATGAAACTTGGTGTGATCATTGGAATTGATAACATCTCGGACAAGTTCTAACTTGGCGCATTTTCGATGAACAGTTTTTGAGTTATTGCCCTTGAATTTGTTAAAACGTGTTGAAATTTGTTAAAAATAGTGTGTGAGCAGGATTGAAGCTACAGTTTTCAACCGATTCTGATGAAACTTGGTGTGATCATTGGAATTGATAAGATCTCGGACAAGTTCTAACTTGATGCATTTTTGATGAACGGTTTTCGAGTTATTGCCCTTGACTTTGTTAGAATGCGTTGAAATTTGTTAAAAATAGTTTGTGAGCAGGATTGACGTTACTGTTTTCAACCGATTCTGATGAAACTTGGTGTGATCATTGGAATTGATAAGATCTCGGACAAGTTCTAACTTGATGCATTTTTGATGAACGGTTTTCGAGTTATTGCCCTTGACTTTGTAAAAACGCGTCAAAATTTGTTTGTGAGCACAGTAGAAGCTACAGTTTTCAACCGATTCTGATGAAACTTGGCGTGATCATTGGAATTGATAAGATCGCGGACAAGTTCTAACAAGAGATATTTTTGATGAACATTTTTTGAGTTATTGCCCTTGACTTTGTAAACACGCGTCAAAAGTTGTTTTTTACCCTTGTTTGTTGTATTTGGGTTATTGATATTGATTTTAAAAAATTTAGTGGAATTATTCAGCATAAATAATTTCTTCAATATGAGAAAATTCATACTTTAATCACTAAAGACTTTCATTATTTGTGACAGCTGCCAGTGGGCGTATGTTACCTTGCAATCCAAGCTATCTTAATGTATGATCAAGATTGGGAATGATATTTCAGTGCGAGGGTTAAAAGAAAAGTGTCATCAAACTGGGGCCTTAAGGAAACATGTTTTTACAATGTCCTGAATCATTGTGGCTTTTTTATCCAAATTCTCACATTTTCTGCCTCTTGAAATCATTTTGCTCATATTTTCATTGATTATTGCTTTGAACATGTTGAGCTGTTGATAAAATAGAATGGACCCTCTAATTTTCTATGAATTTGAGATTTCTGGCGAGTTTGTGTTTTATAACACTCAAGATTGAAATAAATATCCTGTTGTAACCCTAGAAAAACACCCACCTAAAAGACATGATTACATTTGAAGTGTGACAAAGAATGTTATTTGATATATTTTAAATAACCACTTTTATCTTCATCAATCACTATAGTTTCAAATAAAAAATAAATAATGTTAAAATCGATATCCGTTTCCATGGTGATATAGCTTATAATCTATTGAAATACACATCATTATGACTTCTTATATATCTGTTTTTGAAATATCAGATTTTAGGATATAGATTTTGTGAAACTTCATTACGGGTAGCTCAATTCTACCAGTACTATTTCTAGTTTAGTTTGGTACCTTTACATACTTCAAAATGGCTTACTGTAAAATTTTATAACTTCCAAACTGGTTTACTGTAATGTTAACAGCATCAAGACTGGATTACTGTGATATTTACAGAATCTAGATTGGCTAACTGTAATGTTTACATCATCTAGACTGATTAACTGTAATTTTTACAGCATCTAAACTATCTTTCTGTTATGACTAACTGTAATGTTTAAAGCATCTAGAACTTGACTTACTGTAATTTTCACAACTTCAAGTTATCTCTGAGTTGTCTTATTGCATTTTATCTAACCTGTGAGATGGCTTATTATACAACCTGTGAGTTGGCTAACTGCAACTTATACAACCTGTGAGTTGGCTAACTGCAACTTATACAACCTGTGAGTTGGCTAACTGCAACTTATACAACCTGTGAGTTGGCTAACTGCAACTTATACCACCTGTGAGTTGGCTAACTGCAACTTATACAACCTGTGAGTTGGCTAACTGCAACTTATACAACCTGTGAGTTGGCTAACTGCAACTTATACAACCTGTGAGTTGGTTAACTGCAACTTATACAACCTGTGAGTTGGCTAACTGCAACTTATACAACCTGTGAGTTGGCTAACTGCAACTTATACAACCTGTGAGTTGGCTAACTGCAACTTATACAACCTGTGAGTTGGCTAACTGCAACTTATACAACCTGTGGGTTGGCTAACTGCAACTTATACCACCTGTGAGTTGGCTAACTGCAACTTATACCACCTGTGAGTTGGTTAACTGCAACTTATGCAACCTGTGAGGTGCCATACTTTTTACTCAGTGTTTCAATGTGTTTGAAAATTTAACAGACAAACTCAGGATAAGTTAAATTGGTGGCGGAAGCCATGTAGAATTTGTTATCTTATATCTGTTCTGGTTGATAATTAAAGGATATCATCTGTTCTTGACAGTTTATCGACAGTTTGCTATTGCCCAACTTTCTCCAGTAATGATAGTATTCAGTTATTCCTTAACTCTGGACAGTAATTGATTTTTTTATCACCAACTATCTTATATCAAATTCCCTTGAGAAGGTCAATATCAAGAGATTTTGTGTAAAAGGCTATGTAATAACTAATAATAGCTATTACGTGTATCAGAGTAAAGTCTGAAACCGATTCTGCACATTAAAGAATTAATCAGTAGCAGTTCACAACCAAGTTATGCTCTTCTAATGAACGTTAGGTTGTCCAAATTTCCACTATTGTACAATAGTTGGTCTTAACAACAATAAGTTTTTTTTGTACTAAATATTATCGTCCAGCTAGCTATCCATTACCATTTTATGAGTATTGTGTCGATAAAGTTTATCAATTTATTTCCAACATTTGATGCCATTTCAATTCCATTTTCTGTGAATACATTTATCAACCCCTACTTCGTTTTGAATGTAAAGAAAAGTATTTTAGTTAGTTTTGCCCATTAAGAGATGTCTGATATTTGAAGTTAACCAGTATATAGAGTCTGACAATTATATTACTCATTGTAGTTTAATAGATTTAACCTTTCATTATTGACATTCTCAGACATCGTTATCATTCAACTATAGTCTACCCTTCGTCAAATTAGCGTTATATATAATCTTTAAATGTTTTTATTTCTTAAAGTACCAAATTACCTCATGTAATAAGCAATCAAAATCTTAAATACTGATTCAAGGTAACCAATGGGATGTTACCTGTGTCTAACTTAAAAACTTTACATTATAAATGCCCTTAAACACACTTCGTTTAAGAATGATCTAATGATCCGAACTTGTCAAACTGGCTAAAATAGGTTTGTTGTCTACAGATTGAAGAACATAAAACTCTGAGTAACTTCATGCTTCAGGTTCTGTTTATGATTTTTAATATTTCTTATGGATGATGAGATAACTATTTTTGGTCATATTTTGCTTTCAACTAGCGTGCCAAACTGGTTCAAGGTGAGTTTGTTTATGCTCTGAAATCACTGGAAAAGGTTATATCAGCTAACTTTAATTTGGGTCTTATGATGGTAGACAGTTTCCCTTTAAGGTTTATACTTGTGATAGCAGACCTTATAGAAACACCTTGCTTGTTTATATTTCAGGTCAACTTGGCAGCCACGTGGAAGTTATATTGCTGCTCTACCAGGAGACTGTACAACTATTCTGGTTTTCTCTACCAAGTTAGTGAAGGCTGGTGCTGTCCAGTTTGAATATCAATATACAGATCCTGATATCATCTTCCATTTTATGGTAATCTTACAATTACTATTTATACTGAATAATAATGATTGAAATATTTTAGGTTTTGAGGAGATTGATAATGTATTAAGGTGCTCAACACCATTTCATATACATTTTCTCTTCTTACAGTACACTGATGCTATCTTAGTTTCAGAGCATTGGTTCTTTACATGGCATCATTTGCTTGGTTATTTCGAACAAGTAGTGGTTGTTTGTTCTAATCTTAATCGCTGTGTGACAGTTCAATGACCTTGACTCTTCACTCATAATTCCAGTCGACTCTGCTGTAAATGGGTATGGATAATGCTGGGAAGATCAGTGCCAAGAGGTTTGGCCAAGAATTAGCTGGTAGAAAGGACCCTTTGTAAACCTAAGTTGTTAACCATGTAAACTATAGTTGTGTGTTTCTGTCTTTCTTTGCAATTTTACATATTATATCATCCTAAATTTTGAATTTGTCTTATAGGTTCAGAATGATCAATGTCAAGCAGCAGGAGATGATGATGCTAGTCAATGGCCTAAAGTTACCGAGGAAGGACAATGGAGAAAACAAAGTGTAAGTTATTTTTGTTATGATGTTCAAGTCTCTGATGGGTATTTTCTTTAAGAATGTCATCTTAATCACAGTTAAAGGAATACTGTAGAATATGTTCTATGTTAAGGCAGGTTTCGATTAAGAATTTGGTTTACCATAAGATCAGCCAGACAACAAGCATAACATCATGTCTGTTACTCACAAAAACATAATTTATTTTACTATTTATTTAGCTATTTTTACTAAATGAATTATTTCTTGATTATACAGTACTGAATCAATAATTGAATCTCCAAAACACTGCTCGTGTCTTCATTAGACCCATTAGATCCTCATTTTTAAAACATTACTACTAAAGATAATGGATTTTTTCAGGTTAATTTGAAATCTGGTATGAATGTTATTCAATGGAGGACTATTGGTGTATTGAGTGATTTATCACCTTCCAAACAAATTCCTATACTCATTAGAAATATTGAAATATCAGGTAACTCATTGGTTATGATAGAATATGATATGTACATGTACAATCAACTGTTTTTGGTATCAAGGGCTCAGGGGTCTGTATATTGTTTCTGCCACAATTCCTTTCAAATACTCTAAAATCTACAGTTTTTAATCAACTTTGATAAAATTAGATGTTTGTAAACATAAACCTAACAAGAAAATCAATTTTGAATTTGGACACTTTCTGAATATCTATCTCTGTGATCTTGCATACTGAAAGTTAGATAGATTCATATATTCATATTGTAATTCTAATTTTAGGGGTAGCCTATACATCAGAATGTACCAAATGTAGAAATGGAACCTACAGTAGTGGTGGTAATAATTTCTGTGCTGATTGTCCTAAAAATACATTTTCTCATCGTGGAGAAGGAACTTGTCAACCTTGTGATACAGCTATTCAATATTCCTGTAAGTTGGAACCATTCTGAGTGAATCCTTGATTTTCATATCTATTAACATAATTGAATACAGTGCCAAGCTATAATATGTAGAGTTTAATCCTCAAATATGCTTTGTATCTGAGTTTTCCCTTTACAGATCCATTATATATTTACATATATTTAGTAACATTGCTGACTTGCCATATTAAAGATCCATTAAAGTGTAGAAAAACCCTATGCCCTAAGTTGATAAATGATATGTAGAAATGTTTTTTCTTCTTTTAGTACCTGGAGCAACTAAATGTTTAATTCGACCAGCCTGTAAAGAATCAGATTATTTTGAACATCAAACTCCCTGTGAAAATAAAAAGGTGAGATTATTTGAATATTTCCTAGACTTTTTATGTTAAATTTATTTTAGTTTAGTTTAGTTTTGTTTTATTTTCTATCTATTTATGAATTTCATTCATCGATTCCATTCATTCCATTCATTGTAATTGTTCTTTCAGACATTTAAAACCTATACCTGGATCAAACCTGAGAATTGTAATCCAGGACTAGTAGGATCAGTGAAACTTCCACAGAGTGATAAACCTACAGACTGTCCACCATGTAACCCGGGCATGCATCTTGTAGAAGATAAGTGTGAATTTTGTCCAGTCAATATGCATTCTGATGGTAAAGAACCATGTACACTATGTCCTGCTTCTACATCTCCTGTATATAGTATTGATTATCGCTGGTGGAATACCATGCCTCCTAATATAACTTCTACATGTTTATCTATGACAGGTAAGATAGTACTCACACCTTGTAAGATATTGTATTAATACCAAATTTAAGTTCCATTGTACCAGATATTTAAAGGGAAGGTATATGCCAATATGGCATTTTCTGATTGTGTATTGTTGCATTAATTTTGGTTTTATCATTTGTCATTGACTAAAATATAAAATATCTCAAAATATCCTCTGTAAATTGTCTCAATCTTCACAATGTCAGTTATTATGAACTTCATCTAATACCTGCAATAGTCATCATTCTTCACATAAGTTTGTAAATGCAGTGATTTCATTAGATTGTATACTAGGAAATACAGCCAATCAGATGTTTGATACATGGTGATAGACATAGTTTGTAAAAGCTGGATAATGTGAAGATGGATTGGCTCACATTGCCACTTTAAACATCTTGATTGCTAAAAATAAGTTAAATAGAAGTAACATTCTTTAATTAATTGTTCAGCTTGTATTATAGAAAATATCATCAGGGTTAAATCTAGGTTAAAAATGTTCATTTCCTGTTTTGGTCTTGCAGATGAAAATTGTTCTGAACAAGTTGGCTGGTTAACTAATGGAGATCATCTACAAACTAATTTTGGTCATGATGAGAATATATTTATTATATTGACTCTAAATATTGATGGATTACGAGGATCAACTGGTAGTGTTGATGGGAAAGCCAAGGTTCTGGGTCAGATATCCTTCATGTTTGATCTAGATTGTGAAGTTGGACAATGTGAACTAGTATTTTTGTCGGTGAGTTTTTTTTAACTTTATAATGAGAGATTAAATGGGAGGTTGGTATATGAAAGAGGCAATCAATGTTTGATTTTATGCTTGTCTACTGTAAGGAATGATCATCAAGCAAGAAAACTTATTAATCTGAAAATTTGGAATTTCAATATTGCTCTTTTCTTTATATATTTGATATTGAATATGGAATAAGCTTACATTATTTTCTCTTGGTACAGAATGAATCTGGTAGAAATTCTATTGTTTCAAGTTGGCAAGGTACCACCAATAAACAACCCTATGTGTAAGTTCTCTTTTCTGTCTTTACCTTTCTGATGTATCCAGGTGAGCAGTTAATAGCACTGATAGCATCAATTTGTACCATTCCAATTATCAGTTAGGTTTCAGTGGTTCTTGCTATTCCACTAAAACTAAAGGCCCTTTTTACAATTTTACAACTTTTGCACTAGTGAGTGAAAATTGGAATGGTGCAAATTGATGCCATCAGTGTCTCCGATACACATAAAAAGTTCAGATAACCTGTTTATAATCTTTTATAATGGATCTGTAGGAAAATTAAATGAATTGTTAAATAAAACTCTTTTAATGTTTTGCTCAATCCCAGCATAGTTCAAGATAATACCTTGTGCCTTGTGTGCTACAGGCTGTGCACGTTAAAGATCCCTGGACAGTTGGAAATCGTAAAAGGGCAGGCTAATGCCCCTGACCTGGCAAAATTTCCCTCATTGCACCTTGCATGGCTTTGCCAGAAAAAGTAGACCGTAAAACTCCATTTCTTTTCATTTTGGATGTTTTGCTAAGTATGTGCTATTAGCAGTTGTAATTTTCACAAAGTTGTATATATGGAAGAATCAAACTCTCAACGTGACTTTTGTATCAATCAAAGGTTTAATAGGGTTGAATTATTTTTTTTCAGACATAAAATAAGAACCAATAAAGCTGTATCATTTACGTGGGCGTTTCAACCAGCTGACTGGGACACTATGGACCCTGATAATATTGATATATCTGAGTATCTTAACAATAAAGCTAGAATATACTCTATACAAGTTACTAATACATTATCTGGGGGTGCTGTAGCTTGTAAAGCCTGTCCACGAGGCACACAGAAAGATGGGTAAGTAGAGTACTATTTTAAAATTTTCAATAAAACATTCTTATAATTTCTGACTATTTTCTATTTCAAAGAGTTCAGATCTACTTAACAATACTATTTGGTATTTATACTTTGTCAATGATTCTGTACATTTGAAACATTCAGCTGGTATATTGGTTTAAGTAAAATGTAAATTCATTTCAAACTAAAATTTTTTATATATGGTTAATTGGTTCTTTTCCAGTTGTATTCCATGTCCAGATGGAAACTATATTGATCCTAAAACTACTAAATGTACACCATGTCCATCAGGAACAGTAATGGCTAGTGGTGATCCTTGGGGTAAACAAGCCTGTGAGAAATGTGGTGTAGGATTGAAACCTGTTCATGGACATCATTGTGCTTCAGACTGTAAGATTACAGATAGTAATGGCAAAACATTTGATTTCTCAAAGCTAAATGGGTAAGAGAAATGTTTTTTTACTTTTTGACATATTTTCTGATGACTACAAAGTAGATTTAAAATGTGGAACTCTTGTAGACATACAGATCACACAAAATAATGGATCACAATTTTTGTGGTAATACTACTCCTAATTTTTTTTACACAACATTTCAACAATTATATTGAAACAAATTGGAATGTCAGATTGGAAATAGTGATGATAGTTTTAGTATGACTTTGCATTAATAAAATTATAAACATGGCACATGATATCATTTCTGATATTTGTTTCCTCTTAATGTTATTTTCAGCCAAAATAATCAGTCAGACTTTCCTGGAAGGGTGTTATAAAAGAAATGTATATATTTATCAACTTGAAGGCATTTAGTACTGTTTTAGAATTATTCTTAACAGTAAAATTTGATTTAGCAAAAAATGTAAGAAGACAACAGAATCTATATCTTAGCCAATGACTTATTCTACTTTTCAGTCTACAGTATGTAACAGGAACGAGACTTTTCACCTCTAGTGGTACCACCTACTTTCATGGCTTCAATATCAGTTTGTGTGATAATAAAGTTCTACCAAGCTGTGTGAATAATGTAACATCACTAGATGAAGAGGTATAGTTATTGTTTACTCAACCAGTACCTTTATGAACAACATGTCTCTGACATGGCAGCCACTCTTATAATTGTCATTTATTAATGCTTAGAGTTGATTGATAGTAAAGATTTTCACTAATTTTTCCTTCATTGTTGTACTCGAATTTTTCATCAGTAGACATTTTGATATTGTTAGATATACTCTTTGAAAGTTTAACATTGTATGCAATCATCAGAACTGTTTTTATCCAATTATTATTAGAATTTTTTTCTGTTGCCATTCCATCTTGGCATCGATACTGCAATATGCATGTTAAACATATTGACAGTAGACAGGACACACAAGTAGTTCTTTATTTAATATATCAATTAATTTCTGTAGAAAACAAAGAATTCAGAAGATTTTGTCATCATGAAACAAAGCTCGGCTGTATGAATATACATCATTTTTTTTTTATGGAATGAATGGGTGGTGATTTTGATTGGCTATATTTTAATTATACCTGACTATCTTAAATTTTCCCAATATTATTATTATTATTCCCATTTTCTCCAGGAATGGTATTCTGTCTTTTTTTTGTCAGGAACCTATTCTTTATTTCAATTTATTCTTCTCCATTTTTATCTTTTATCATGAATCTTGATGCATTTTAGACATCAACCTCTTGTTTATTTTGTTATAGACCAAATATAAATCTGAAGAGCTTTGGTGCTGTGGTGAAGGTCATTCTGCAGTCTAGCTTGTGATAAACTTGGGAATATATGTTGAATTTTTTATGTACATTTTTCAAAAAAAAAAGAAAAGAAATACCACATTTCATTCATTGAAGAATTGAATTAAAAATAATACATGAAATACTGGTATCATAGCGTAACATATAACAGTAATTGATGTAACTGCTTTCATAGTTTCAATTATATTGTTTTTAACACGTCTTTTCTCTAATAATACTGAATGTATCTGTTTACAGATGTTTAATGAACCTAGTACAGTATCTGGTATGATCTGTAGATCAACTATGGTACCATCTAAAGATAAAAAGACACCTAATTCTATTGTTTCCACTCAGCCAGTCAGGTAACTATAAACAGACTCTGTCTGCATATTCTCGAAACAAAAGGATGTCCTAATTTCTTAACTTCTAACACTGCTTGTAGGATAGGCTAATGCTAAGATTGTTTTGAGAATTGTGGTCTTAATGACACTTATTTCTCTCAAAAACTAAAGATACTTGGTTCTTTTGGAGGCTGAAGAATGTGCTAAATTCACTGAAAGAATGTGGTTTTTCCTTATTTTCATTATGATTTTTTTCAGTATTGGTGACCATCTAGTTCAGATTGTATCAAATTCTAGTTTAAAGTCACAATATATAAAAGAAGGATTTAACAGTGAGAAAATAAATGATGATATTCACTTTTATTTTAAATCTGAGAGGTGAGGCTTTAATTTTAATTCTCTGTCTGTCTGAATTATACAAATAACTTCTTCAGAAAGAAATTATAAGTTAGACAAAGCATATGATGAATATTTTTAGGAGAGCACAGTATTGTAAAGATTATAAAATATAATGTATATTTTTCTTCAGTCAAAGTTGTTTCTACAGTCTATTTTTCAAGGGTACTAATCAACAACCAATTTTCTTACTTGGCTTATGCTTAAATATTGTAGGCTGTGTTTTAAAGAATTGATTTTATTATTCCAGTGCTACAGCTGCTTGTCCTAATGGCAGGGAAACCATCATTACTCTCAGCTGTGATGTCAATGAAAAAGGTCAAGGTCAATTGGAATTACCACCAAAATGTTCTGATGGAACCTGTGATGGTTGTAATTTCCACTTTATGTGGTACAGTCAACATGCTTGTCCTCTATGTCAAGAGAAGGATTATGAGGTGGTCAATGGAGAATGTAAAAATGGTGAACAGACCATACATTATTACCCTCCAAAGTAAGTCTACTTCATTACATTTTGTTTCTAAGGTCAATGAAATTTGTTTGTAATTCTTTCTCACTTGCAGTCATAGTTGAATTGTTGTAGATTTGACATCATTTCATGTGTGACCACTTTACCGTTTAAAGTAATATTTTTTTGTTTATCTTTAAACCTACTTTTTCAGAAACTGTTTGATACCTTTTGTATCCAAACCAAGAAAAATGGTTCAGAAATGTTCTACATTGCCATTAGTAGTAAGTAGAACCTTTCAGCATAACAGGCTATATCAGGCTATTATTATTTTTGTTATATGAAATAGCAATGTTCATTACAAACATATCATGTCATCAACTACATATATATAATATTATATATATGTTTATTTATACTATAGGTACAGATATCAATCCCAGTAGCTGTAGGTGTAGGACTATTATTATTAGTATTACTAGTCTATTGCTGGAAGAGAAATAAAAAGTAAGTACTATATTGTAATACATGAAGCCCCTTCATTTTGTCCTTTGAGATATTCTCCCTGCTTTTTGAAGCAAGCTAATAATGTTGACAATCTAGAAGTACTTAAACATGAATGTAGGAATGACAACTTTTTAATGACCATCAGACTTCAGTTTTATTTCAAATTACATTACAACATCAGTAGGAGCGCAGGCTGAAATAGGTCAGTTGTCTGAAGATTGCATTGAGTGAAACTTGGAATAACAAAAATTATTTTTAGGTTCTATTTTGATATTTCTAAGCTTATCTTATAATGCTTTTGGGTAATAACCAAAACAATGTAAAATAGTGAAATTAACTGGTATTTATAGATTAGAGTACCGCTATATGAAGCTGGTAGAAACAGCTGGTGGTAAAGATGGAGAACTACCAGCAGCTGAATCATGTGGTCTAGATGAGGGTGAGGATGAAGATACAGTACATTTCTCCGAGGGAAAGGGAGTTAAACTCTTCCAGAAACTTCGAAATAAAATCAGTGGCAATAACAGCAAGGTACATTGATTTGATTAATCATTATTATGATCTTATATACAGTTTCAGCCAATTCAATGAAGCTGATTCAGGTGGTATCATCCCTACCTACCTTATTTTCATTATGTGAGAAATAAAGAAATATTTGAGGGTAGGTGTGGAATCAGCTGTGTATGAATTCTATCATTTGAGACACTGTCAATCTGTCACAGTCTAGGTTTCTATTAGTCTACTGTTTGGTTCCTTTATCAAACAACTTGTCTCATGTGTTCCTGCAGTTAGCAATTCTCAACAGTTTCTGTATTATTACCATTTTCAATCAATATCTATTTTCTTTTCCTAAAATGGTTGACTTTGGAGCTTATATCTAACATTATGATAATGTGATAACCATAATCTTTCACTGAAATGATATCCATAATCTTGTGAAAGGTCAAGGCCAGATTGATATTCTGGGATGTTGTGTCAAAGGGATGCAGTCAAATAAATGATTGCTTAACCAGCTAATAGCAGTAAATTTCAGCTATCCATTTCACTCAATTTATTCTAAATCGGTGCATTGTTTTTTCGATTTTTTTTTTTCACAAGGACCTTGCAATAGACAAATCTTGTTAAAACTGTTATACATAGTTAAAATATAGCTCAATTTGCTGGGGAAGCAAACATTTTTAACACTGTATTCCTTTTAGTCATATTTAGAGGTTATATGTGTTAATTAATTTTGTAGAACGAAGACGACATGTTTTCAGTAAGTAGTAATAACTGGTAGATACCTTACCTCAACCCAAAATATTGATTTAGGTACCACTATTTCATGATAACCCTTATACACTCTCTCTTGGGTAGTGGAATGCAATGCTCTGATGTTTCTTTTGAATAAGGGGACAACTATTTCCAATAATTCTTATTCTTGTGGGTGGTAGCCTTTCCTTTCTAGATTCTGGAATGATTCATTTTTATACGCCCACATAAAATGGGGGCGTATAATGGCGTCACTTATGTCCATCCGTCTGTTTGTCCGGCCACAATAGCTCGTAGACATTCTAGAATTTTTGACGGATTTTGACAAACTTGGTATGGATAAACCCTATTGAAAATTACAAAAATCTAGTATGAATTATTTTTAACATAGCCACTTCAGAGTAGGGTTTTGTGACTGCACTCTTAAACATTTGCAACCTGATAACCTTTTGATATAATCTGATGACATCTACTTTAACCAATCAAATTCCTTCCATCTCTCACAAAATGCCAACGTTGGAGAATTTGATTGGTTAAAGCAGGTTAGGTCAAAAGGTTCTTTAGTTGAATGTTCAAGAGTTCGGTTGTTAGACCCTAGTCTGAAGTGGCTATTCTAATAATAAAAACTAATAAAAAAAAACACGACGAAGATTGGGTCTAATCTTAATTATACTGACTTGAAGGCTCGATTGTTGCCAGATTTTGTCAAAACTTGGTAATACTGTTCAGTATCAGAAGTTCAAAAGAAGTGGATGACTATTTCATACTGGTGATTGTTATTGTACTTCCAAATAATTCTATTTAAAATCAAAGCTGCCAGTGGACGTATATTACCTTGCCTGGCAAGCTATCTTTCTAATGTTATGATAGAATTATATGGCATTGTTTTCAATGAATACCATTTATTCTGTCATTGATCTGAAGAAAATAACAGTCAAGTATTCATCAATTTAGAATGTTCATGTTTTTTTCATCTGATAAGTAATTTCAATTAAATCCTAGATCAATTATGACAGCATGAACGGTGCTCCTGACTTTTATACCTTCTGTATTTCGGAATGGTTAACATCTTTTTATTTACAGATCTTTAACAACATTGAATTTATTGAAGATTTTATGGAAGCAAGTTTTCTAGGGATATAGCTATCTAATTCTTTCTGTAACAGCCGATTGAACTCAATTTTATCTGCATGTATTGCTTTTAAGATTCAATATTAAGACCAGAAATTTACACATTGCACATATCAAAAAAGTAAATATTAATAAATAAATGTGTAGAAAACATCTTAATCATTTTGGTTTTTTTTCTTCCAATTGCCAATTTTATGAGATCTAGAAACAGTTATGATAATAGCAAAATATAGGGAAATCATGATCAAATATCTAAATTTTTAGTTCAGGTAATTTTTGGAATAAATAGGTCATATATCTTAAGATCACTGTGATAATAAACACAATCTTTTCTGATAGTATTTCAATTTTAGTTATATAATCCAATCAGATAATTATATTTATTTAAATCTGGATTTTTACATGGAGAAGTTTTCGAGAATAAGACGCCTGATTATTTTTCTTGCAAAAACACTATTGCTCTGGCAGGTAAAATTGGACACTATTAACTGGTTAAGAAACTATTTAGAAGGCTGTATTCCGAGTATTTGTTCCTGTTAAAGCTTTTGTTTTAGTTTTATTAACAGCTTTGATGAATGCAATATTTCTGGTTGATTTCTTGTTTATATCATTTTCTTTATACTACATATTAATAGACAGACCTTTCATGAATAAACTAATTGTTTATATTATATATTATTACTGATAATCTCAGTATATAAAACTGATTTTACTTTTTACCAGAAATGTGATTTTCTCATATTTTTTCCCAACATTATCTGTGATTTTCAGAGTTTTATCATATTGTAATTTTTTATGTAATATCACACTCAATTTTACCAGTTTTATCATACTTAATTTTACCAGTTTTATCATACTGTTATTTTCCAAGTTTTGCGATACTCAAATTTACCAGTTTTATCATACTGTTATTTTCCAAGTATTATCATTCTGTGGTTTCAAGTATTATCAATATTATCATAACGGGATTTTCCCAGTTTTATCATACTGGAATTTTCCAAGTATTATTTTACTGTTATTTTTCAAGTTTTATCATACAGTAATTTTTCAAGCATTATCATACTATGGTTTTCCAAGTATTATCATACTATGGTTTTCCGAGTATTATCATACTGTTATTTTCCCAGTTGTATCTAATGTGATTTTCCCAGTTTTATCATACTCAATTTTCCTAGTTGTGATTATTCCAGTTCATCATACTCAATTTTCCAAGTATTATCATACTGTGATTTTCCAAGTTTTATCATACTTTGATTATTCAAGTTTATCATGCTGTGATTTTCCAAGTTTTTTCATACTTTGATTTTCCCAGTTTTTTCATACTGTGATTTTTCAAGTTTCTTCTCTCTGATTTCTTGAATCAATGATTGAAGTACCCCATTTGACTTATAATATTTTAATTAGTTTTCTGTTCTCTTTGTAGGATGATGAAAACCCGTTTGTAGCTGTAAGAATGAATGAGAAGGTACCACTGAATTTAACATAAGCTGTACCATCTTGTATAAAGTGCTTAAATAGCTCGGATTGGACTAAAAATTGTCACGTTTTATTTAACATTGTTACATTAAAATACCAACCACTGGTATCTATTCTATAAGATCTTTATGTCTAATGTATGTATATTAAAATACCAACCACTGGTTTCTGTTGTGAAGGATGTTTATGTCTAATGTATCATACTGTGTTATTTCACATTCAACTTCTTATATTAAAATACCAACTACTGGTATCTATTCTATAAGATGTTTATGTCCAATGTATGTATATTAAAATACCAACTACTGGTATCTATTCTATAAGATGTTTATGTCTAATGTATCATAATGTGTTATTTCACATTCAACTTCTTATATTAAAATACCAACCACTGGTATCTATTCTATAAGATGTTTATGTCCAATGTATGTATATTAAAATACCAACAACTGGTTTCTGTTGTGAAGGATGTTTATGTCTAATGTATCATAATGTGTTATTTCACATTCAACTTCTTATATTAAAATACCAACAACTGGTATCTATTCTATAAGATGTTTATGTCTAATGTATGTATATTAAAATACCAACCACTGGTATCTATTCTATAAGATGTTTATGTCTAATGTATGTATATTAAAATACCAACCACTGGTATCTATTCTATAAGATGTTTATGTCTAATGTATCATACTGTGTTATTTCACATTCAACTTTGTTATATTAAATTACCAACCACTGGTTTTCTACTGTACAAGATGTTTATGTCTAATGTATCATTAATAGAGACTAAAAAATTTTTCTAAATATTTGCTTTTACTAGCTAATTGAGCAGCTCTCCAAAGCCTTTTGTAATTAAAATCTGACACTTGGTTCTACAATTCAACAAAAATAAGTGAATTGTTAAAAGGATGTATCCCTTTATTTAATTTGAAAGCAATCCTGGTTTTATGTCAATATAATTGATTTTCTAGGAACTTTTTATTCTAAATGTAATATACATTAGAACATTATCCATTTCCCAGTACTCAACTATTCCAACTCCTAACAATTTATTATCATTTATAAATCTATAAGTCTGTTGTATAAACCACATTCCTTATATTATTGTGATGTTGTGTTTTATTATTCTTTTATCATAATAATCAGTTGTTGCTATATTCATGAGTTCTTTTTCATTTTGAAAGATATTTATTTGAAGTTTTAAGAAGGATTATAATATTTGAAAAATATTGCACCACTATTGTCCATAATTAAAAGTATTTTGTTGTTGTGTAATCAAGCTAAGATAATTGTGTTCATTCAAGACATAAACACAAAGTCCACTTTAATACAATTGGAACTAAACAGACTAAACTTATATAGTGTTGATTATTACTTAAAGTACTTGAATATTATATGACTTGTTTATGTTTATGAATTGACAGGGGATGTGGAATATCTTCTCTAGACTATACATTACTATGTTTCCTCTAACTTCAACTTATTTCATTTTACTTTATTAACCACTTAGGTAATATTGAAATCAAATAATTCACTTATCTACTCAGTTTGATTTTTAAAAAGATACAACCACTTGGAACGGACATGAAAGTTTCAAACATTGTCAACAAGTGTATATATTCATCAGTTGGACTTATCAAGTGTCATGACTAAAGAATAGAATCTCTATATAAAATGGTATTCTAAGCATGTTTCAAAATTACTTAGTTTTATAAATTTGTTGTATTATAGATTCTGTTATATAGTTTTGATACCAGTTAAGTCCACTGATGGCCGAGTTTAAAAATTTCAATTTTTTGGTCATCCTGAGTGTAAGTATTTAAGTAATAATGCAATCTTGTTTGTTTAATTGTGAGCTTTATTTATAATATTATTTATATATATTATAATAATCCTAATATGTTCAGAGAAATTTGAGGTTGTGATACATGGTGAATATTGAGAAAGCTCCACTGAGAGTTTCTTCAGTTGGGAGAAAGTGAACATTAAAATTGTGAAATTTATATTTTGTATGACTTACCATAAATATCTTACTATTTAGGCTTAAAAGGTATCTCAAATTTTTTTTTAGGAAAGTTACTTTAGAAAATTACATTATAATTGTTTTGAAATGATATTGCCTATAGTCTAGTCCTCATATTCTCTTAGTTAAACCTTTGTTTATATATATATGTTGTTTATTATTATTTATGTTGTGATTAATATTTGTTTTTTAATTATAATATATGAAGTGAATATAATATTGTTTTGTTGATAATGAACACTTGACAGAATGCTATGTTACATTGAATCAAGCATAATAAAATGAACAGTGAACATGGAAATTTATTGTTTGTTAAACCAGCATTGTGGTTTCAAGTTCGATATGGTCTGTATGAATTAGATCTTATCATTTATTGTCTTAAGGCATGAATATTTTAGTAAAATATGGTTTTCATGTACTTAAAGACAATTTGTCTTCCTTTGATGTAATCTTTAACATGTATTTAGTATTAAATGTTGTGTTTTTCTTTTAAATCAATTTATTTTAAATAATTGTTTTGAATGTTTTTGCTTTCTCTATTTCTTAAAATTCTTAATTTACTTAATGATTTTAATTGTAAAATTTCCAATTCACAACAAGAGTACATTAAGACTGTATCTAATAAATTCTCAATAATTTTTCGATCATATTGACCAAACAATTTTAAAGATATAAAGAAAACTTTAGCATTACAAGTATTAATTTTGAAGAGTTCAAATTTTCAAAATTATTATTGTTAATTAGACAATTATTTTTCTCTTTTTATAACATTCCTAAATTTATTTGAAATCCATGACATTATGAAATTCCAGTATTTTTTGAGTGTTCACATATTTGTGCTTTATTTGTATTTGTTTCATTAATAAACATTTTACATTGTTTTGAGATATTTTGACAGAGATACAGTAGCTTGATACTGGCAGTTCTGTGTTGTTTTGAGCACCCGAAATAAGAGTTTTAGGATGCCTGCAGATAAGAAAAGATACTACCTCTTAGAATGGACATAAAATTTAAAATCTTTAATGATTAACAAGTGTATTAATCAGTCGGATTTACTGGGTGTCATGACTCAAGAATATAATCTCTATGTAAGACGATATACCCATTAAACTAAATAATTATTGAAAAGCTTCTAAGCATGTTTCAAAATTACTAGTTATTCAAAAGTTTAATGAATTATCACTTACTTTTATAGATTTATTAGATTATAGAGAGATTTTGTTGTATAGTTATAACACTAGGTAGGTCCATTAAAGAACAAATATCATTTTAACTAAGTTTTAAAATTTTAATCTTTTGGTCATCCTATGAGGAAGTATATCTTTAATATAAAACAGATAAACTTGTATTTAGATTATGATTTTCAATGAAACAATGATCATAAATGCAAAGTGGTACTATAAATACAAAAATGCAAAATTTGAGAAATTACATCAGGATAAGAATAAAATGAACAAATGATTATAAACTGCTATCTGAAACTAGCCTCCTATATAGATTGTATGATTATACAAGTTAGCACTGACAATATCTCTTAAATAAAAATAATCTGAACCGATATGTAGTCAATATATCTATTATAAGCATGGTAAAGAACAGAATATTGCAGTAGAAATGTTGTACAAAATACATATGAAATATGAAAATAAAACTAAGGCCTGCATTTATCTGTTAGTTTTTGGGTTTTTTATTGAAAAATTTTAACAGATAACATTTCTGATAGATATGGTGTGAGAAATCGTCACATTCTTTCCTTCAATTTGTAAATATTGATAAAACTGCCGTAACTAGGTAGAGTCTATTTGATGTAGTTATGACCCTGCTTTAAAATACAGTAGCTAGGTACCAAACACAATGATTCCTTTTACTCTTTAAGTTGTGTATAGTGTCTATATCTTAACAATATCCATTTATAATGGCCAGTATTACAAATTACAAAAACATATAAAAAACACAACAAATAAACAAATTGAATGTGATCATGATTCAAAAAACAAATGATTTTCATTTATCAACTGAATAAAAGTAGAATAAGCTTGAAATTTTATCAAAAATCAGCATAATATCATAAAGAAAAGGCATAAATTATGCCAGAATTCGTTCATATAAATCAATCAAAAATCAAAGCTGTGCAATGTTATCAAGTGAATTTTAATGCCATTTGTAATGTTATGGCATCTTCCAATGATTATCATTCTAAAAATATTTTTTTCTTTCTGCAATTGTACACAAAGTGCTATTAAGCCAACAAAACATCAATATGAAAACAAATGCATTCATTATTCCAAATCACAACATAAAGCAAAGCCCAATATTCTTTTGGGTTGAATATCCATAGTCTGTTACAGAAAAAATGATGTGTACAGCAAGAATTATGCTTTATCAAATTGAGAAGTTTCATATACATTTGAAGGCCTATATGTGCATTATTTGAAAGTTTTATAATTTGGTATACATTTATTCCTTTTAATAGTGTTTCAAGACAGGCAATGATGGAGTCTCCAATTTGCTGGACAGCAATAGTGCACTCTTTTTTTTTTGTAAACAGAACATAGGGCCTTGATTTATTGACCAAGCCCTACTAGATGTTTTTTTTTTAATTCAGCCAGCAAACCTTGTTACAGCATGTTATCATTGAACAGAATCCCTTGCACATTGTCCTCATTGCATAATCAATGGCATAATACATGAATATCTTTTTCTTAGCATCCTTAGACTTCCACAAAACAATATTAAAATTATTGTAATCTCAATCATTTTGTTCCCATAGATTACTCTATTCAGCCAGATTTACCAGTCATGTCTGGCTGGAGATCCATTATATCCAGAACTTGAGATTTCCAACAGAGAAAACTGAAAGCAACAACCTCGTTAATGATACAAGTTCACTGACGATAGACTTGAACTAGAATTTCCTTCTCGACTTTCCAGAGCAATGGCTTCCTAATTTATACATCTGAATCCTCTTACATCATGTATCCTTAGTTAACTCTCACACAGAAACCAACAACCATCATGAAATAGTAAGCTTACTAAATGCTTTAAAAAATATCATTTTGAATTGCCATCTAAGAGTCTTTGGACGTGTTGTATACTGTCACTATATGCAGCTTTCAAGTCAGAACCAATTCCTGGATGATTTGTGATACGTTTCTGTAAAATTGCACACAGTTCACTATTGGTAAAAAAGTTTGGGTTACATTTTTCCAAATTTTGTTTCCTTTCTCGTAAATTTTTAGTTCCACTCTCTTCTGTTTTTTCACTTTTAGCTTGAGTTCCATTGCTGAAATATACATTTTATCTTTAAATAATATAGTCATTATAAAGCTAGGCTCTATTATAAAGCTAGGCTCTATTATAAAGCTAGGCTCTATTATAAAGCTAGGCTCTATTATAAAGCTAGGCTCTATTATAAAGCTAGGCTCTATTATAAAGCTAGGCTCTATTATAAAGCTAGGCTCTATTATAAAGCTAGGGATCTGTCTTACAAAAAATCTCACTTGCCAGCACTTGTAAGAGTGAATTTATCATAAAGAGGTTTTCACAAAAATTTGCAACTCTAAGATTTTTATGATCTTTAGATTAATTGGCACCTAGTTTTTGTGAAATTTAAAGAAAAGTTATATTTCAATATGAACATGCAATACAGGTGATGTATAACAAGGTTTACCTGTCACAAGGAAAAGGAGGTTTCTTCTCCACATCAAATGTTATATTTACAGTATATCCAGAAGATTCTGACATATTCATAAAACTTTCACCAAATAGACCAGAAACCACTAATAGAAAAGGAAACAAAATAAATGTATTTATTGTAACCATAGAAGAAATCATTGAAATATATTGTCAACTTGTCATTCTGTGGAAGATTTGACTACCATAAGAGAAATTATAGGGATGGTAAAATTTGTCTAAAAATTCAAAATACTACTGATAAACTTGTTTCTAATAGCCTACTTTTCACTTAACCCTTGACTTCTTTTTCAACCCTACCAATCAATCAGTCAGTCTGTGACTTACCAGCTTCTATTTCCTTTGCCACTCCATTGTTATTGGCCTTCTTCTTATTGTGTTTCTAAAAATAGTCAGGTATTAATTATATCAAATAATTACATATTACTAACCAGCTAACAATAAAAGGGAATGGATACAAATAGACTTGATGATCATTACAATGTAACCGCTATGAACGATCAAGTACCGGTAGTAGAAATCAAGTTTTATCTATAGCAATTTGAAATCTTCAAAACATCAATTGAATATTATAGCTTATTGTGATTAAAAACTCTAAATATAACAAACCTTTGAAGATCTTGTACTAGAACATTCTGATGGTCTTCGACTTGTAGAATCATATACAGGTGGACTGATGGGTTCCTCGTCAAGCTTACTGGTTGAAGCCAGTGGTTTCTGATCTACATAAGCTACACTTATATCTGGAGGATTCTCTTGTGGTGCTACAATTGATGGCAGTAAGTGAAGTTCTGAAGGTAAGACTGGAGGTGGTAGTGAAATTTCAGACCTTGCTTGTGGTGTTAAGCTTCGAGATGGATATTTAGAAGGCAGTGATGTAATTTCTTCAGTACAAGGTTCCCTTGTAGTGTCTGATTTCAAATTTTTATTTTTTGTTTCTTTTGAGAGCCAAACCAAACCTGTGGGATGGCTAACAGCTACAGAAGAATCATTAGTTAAATCCTTCTTCTTCTGAGGGGATGCTTTTCTGAGTCTAGGTCTTCCTCTTCCCCTTTTAACTGTCACAGGTTTAGTTTGGATCTTTTTACGCCCTCTTTTTTCCCTCAATGGTTTCTTTACAGTAGTGTCTGACCTTGTTTCAAGGTTACTTTGGTCTTCATTCATTGGAACTTCAGTTACATTTGCATCTTGCAAACCTTCACTTTGAACCTTTTCTGGAGACAATAATTTCTTCTTTGAGCGTTTAGCATGCAACTTGGCTTTTCGAACACTTGTAGAAAGATTTTTAAAGGTCTTGAATCTGCGATCCTCTGAAAACTTTTGATGATGAAGTCTCAAGATCAATGGCTTAATTTTAGCTAACGGTTCACCATCAGAATTTTCTTTACTTCCATCTGGTGGATTATTATTATCTGTTACAGTTTCTGGTATTTGGGTGGATAAAACTTGAGTTAGTTTTACACGAAGTTGTCGATCACTTGCAGGCACATCCAACCCAAAAGCTTGAGCATCATCAGCATGGTCATTTGAGCTAACAGATGTTCCAATACCACTGTCAGACGTTGTATTTGCTGTCTCAGTACTTGATGGCCTTACAAGAGGTTTGCTATGAACTTTGGATCTACGTTTTTTGGGTTTTGGGCAGTAGTCTTCATCATCATCAGCATCAACCTCGGGAGAGTAAGGGTCATCTAGACCGTTTTCAATCAAAGCCCTTATGCCAGGATCAGATTCATCAACAAACGGAAATGGTGTCTTTTTTGGTCTCCCTCGCTTCTTAACCACATCTTGATTGTTAGAGCTGTTACTTGCATCACTAAGAACACCTCCATCTTTGTTCTTTTCAGTATTATCCATTGCAATATCTGAAACAGATGGTGTATCATCTATTTTATCTCCTAATTTGGGCAAAACATCTTCAGTTTCCCCATCAGAATCTGTTTTTTCTTGCTTTGCAATCATGATTTCTTCCATAATCTTGGGAACTACTGATTCTGTTGAAGGTTGCCTTAATGGCATTGTTGTTAGGTCTGGAGATTGCCGATTATTTATAGTATCATTTGCAGGATTCAAAACATTAATATCATTTGGATTTCCATTTTCATCAGCTGTATCCGTTTCTATATCGGTATTTGTCTCAGCAAAAACTGCATTGAGCTCTTCTTGTTTCTCCCTATTGAGGTCATCAAGTGTTGACATCAAGTTACCACTAGCATTATCAGAACTTTCCATTGATAAAGGGGGTGATGTAACGCTCTGATTCTCTTGCTCTCGGTCAGGTTCAACCAGATCAATTGTGACAGGTTCCCGGGGCAAATTTTTAAATGGATCAGCAACTGGAGGCACAAAGTTTGTTTCCTGACTTGGTCTTCTCTCCAATGGTGCTGTATAACTAGGTGAATTATTAATCTGATAACGTACGGCAACTGGAGTTGTTTGTCTTGGGGGAGCAACAGATCTTGGAGGTGTTGCTGCTTGTTGTAGTTGTTTTTCTCTCAATGCTTGCTGTTGAATTAAGTAATTTCTTTGCTGTTGTGTCAACCTCTTGCCTTTAGGGCTGTTTAAAATTTCATGTAACTGCTGAGCACTTAATAAAGGTCGAGGGTTCTGTTGTCTTGGTGATAAGTTGAATTGCTGATGCCCTCCCCTTCCTGGTGATTGGAAACGAGGAGATGCAGCTCGATAATTCTGTTGCCGAGGTGGTGACGTGAACTGATTATATCCTTGACCTTGAATACTTGGGGATACGTTTATATTAGCATAACCACGATTTTTCTGTGGAGTTACATTATTTAATGCTTGAAAGTTTTGTTGGTTATAATTCTGACCTTGGAAATTCTGACTGCTGGTTTGGAAACTATTATTATTACTTTGATAATTATTATTGTTGCCTTGGAAATTATTATTGTTACCTTGGTAGTTTGGAGTTTGGTATTGTTGAGGTGATGGTTGGTAACTGACTTGAGATGGTTGTATCTTGAAACCAGGTGATTCCCCAATTATAACAACATCACTAGCGTCGTCTTGAATATTTTGATATGAATTGCTCATCTTATGTGAAGAACTTGCGATTTAGATGTTATTTTTGCTCTGTTTTGATAGTGTGATATGATGAAATACATCGACAGACTAGTACTAGTAATAGTGTGGTTATTTTTTTCTATTTCGGAGATACCATAACTTAAAATACACAAAATCATGATTTTATAGCCAATCTGAATATATATATAAGTATAATCTAAGGGAGAAAATTTGACATGAAGGATTGAAATACATAATTCAAGGTATTGATATTGAAGTACGACACAATGACTCTCACCAGCTACTTTCAACTCGGAGACATAAATAATAATAAATATGATCGGAATGTTGCCCCCCCCGAGTTAACTCACTTTGTCTACCAGGGTTAACTGTCTCTGAGTTGACATGTCACCGAGATGACTGGTATTCGGTATACACTAAAATATCCTCTATGACATACCACCTAAACTAAATTATCCTATACTGTTACACATGCATATAAATGACTACCAGTTCCAGAGTACTAACCAAGATTAATAAATACTAACAGTCAGAACTTGACAAATGTCGAAAAACGGCGAAATGGAATGACAACAACCAGTGTTTCCGACACAAATCCTTGAGTTTTAGATTTAGGCAGAATAAAAATTCAACCAAAATTTAGAGACAGAATTGTTTTATGCTGGGATTTCAACTTACATGTAGGAAAATGAAGCTTATCAGTTGAAACACCAAATATTAGCTGGTTTACAGTACAATTTAGCATTATTTTGGATTTACGAGATTCCATTAATTATAAGGGTCAAGGTCGAAAATTCTTAAGGTGTAAATTTTGATGATACATAAAAAAAAAGTCCACATATGAAATTACTAAAACTTTAATAAACTTTTTATTTTGAGTTCCACCACCTATGGTTCCACTAAAATTGAAATTTGATCATTACTGTTTTAGATTATAGAAAAGTCAAGAGCACCAGTAGATTTTTCACACTGGACTGCTTGTAATATGTTTGTTTATGAAGTTTAGTGTTCATGATTTAAAAACCCTACACCGTTTAAAAAGGGGAGGCAACTCATATAAATAACGAAATCGGAAATAAATTTTTTATCCACGTAATATTAACAATATTTTGTTTTGTAAGTCTTCATTTTTAGAAAATATCATTTGCTATTGATGATAAGTATGTAAACAAAATGTTTGGACGTTTTTCTAATGATCAATTTCAAGGCTTCTGTCATTGTTGTAGATCTACTTGTAGTGTTCTACAAATCAAATATTGATGATTTTGCTTGTCACCTTGGAATTATGCCCTTTTAGTTTCGTTTTCCTTATCTTAATATATTAAGATTCTAGGATTTACTTTATCTAATTATCAGAACAGAACAGAACAGAACAGAAGTACTAGAGAGATGTACGAAAACCGCATAATTCCTTCAAAAATAAACTAGAAATTTTACTCACTTTTGCTATATGGCTTTTTATTACAGAGTATTTTAAAATGACAAGTCATTTTGACATTCAAACGCGGATAATTCTGGACAATTCTGGAATTCTCAAATTTCGATGGTGATTGGCTTAGCTAAAAAATTCCAGTTTCTGAGACTAAAGTATGATTGGTAAAAAGAATGTTCCTTTAAGATATTCTGCCATAGTTATTGTAAATAGACATCCCGAGACTGGAGTAGGGAATAAATGTGTTTGGCATGCACACATATAGTACAAAACTGGGCTCATTGATATTGAGATTCATAATAATAAGGGCCTGAAAGTTTTAATGACAATTTCATATTTAGTAAACCATCAGGTTTTGTTTCATAAGTGTTAGTAATCTTTTTTGTGTGAAAGCCTTTTTTAAGTCTCTAATTTGGACGAGATTTTTCATTGACGGAATTGTTTTGCTTGTACAGGTTTTTATTATTTAAACACCATTCAATCCTACTCAGTGCTATTTTGAGAGGAAAAAACTAGATTCTTGTCATTGAACGAAACATTGCTAAAACTTCTTTCATTGAACCTGTCTCAGTTATCTATAAAGCTTTCACTCTATATATTAGATTCAGTTAACTGATCAGAAAAGAGTGCCATGAAATTGATTAACAAGACGAAAGCTGATATTTTTTTCAAAATCCCTTTTTTTCAGGTTTCCTTCTTTAACAAATAGATATGGCAACTTCAGGACAGAGTAAAAATCCACTAATGGATGAAATTAATCTGAAGCCTGGTGATAAAAGTTCTATTGTAGATGATTTTATGTATGGATCCAATGTGGCTGGGGCACACATTTACATTCGTATGGGTTAGTATTTATCTTTTATTATTGTCCTATTCTGCTTGGGACTAATTATTTGTTTAGCAAACTGACTAGTGCAGGTTGCCTTCTATCCAAAACTGGAAACAAGTTTTTCTCTTCCTTAGGAATTTTAGATATTGAATTTTGTTTTTGACACAACTATGATATTGCTATGAACTTCTTCCACTTGGACTTATTTCAGAAGTATGTATATTTATTGTACTTGAACTTTTTGCTTTATTCCATTTTAATATAAAAATAAATAATAATAATTAGTTTAATAAAAAATATTTTTTTGTTTTCTGTATATTTTAGGATTTTTGAGGAAGGTGTATGGTATTTTGTCAGCTCAACTGTTTTTAACTACTGTAGTTTGTGCCATTTTCATGGGTCATGAAGGTTTGAGAGATTTTATACATAAAAGGTACTATTTATATGTTATCACCATCTGAAGTACAAATGTATCCTAAAATAGATCATACTAGAGTATTTCATTAGTTTTGTCTTCTCTGATCTATCAAAATTGATTATGAAGTATAAGTGCAGTTTTTTTTTAAACAATATTTATTCAAGAATTACAAATATTACATACATATATATAAACATATAGTGCAGTTGTACTTAACAGAATTCAAAATAGGTTTTCTAGCCATTGCAGGGGTATGGGTAATCTCCAGCTGAATTAACAGTAAAATTTCAGGAGACATAATGCAGACTGTTAAACCTTTTTTAAAAATTATTTAAATTCAAGACTGCAAAAACCAATATCAACATTATAACCGCAATGACTTGAGAAATAAAGATATGAATGACTTGTTTTCAACCTGGCTGAAGATCATCATTTACAAGATTCAAGTTACTAATACTCAAAAGCTGGTAACCTTCTGGTTTATATTTAAAACTTGTGTTTATTATGAATATACTTTGAAATTCTAAAATAATTAAACAGCAATATGTAAGATACATAATATTTTCTTATTCAAGCCCATGGATGATGATGGTTGCCTTAATTTGTACTTTTGCTCTGTTATTTGCTTTGATGTGGAAACGAAAAGAAACACCTTGGAATTATATTTTACTAGGAGCTTTTGTAAGTTTTTATTTCAATATTTTGTATTAGATATATATTTATAAGCATTTTGAAGCAATTGTGCCATAAAATAGGATGTCTATAGGCTCTTTTCGCAGCAAAAAAATTGATAATTTTAGCAATATAGAAAAAGAAAAGTGGCAATATGTAAACTGGATTACTACATGACATGTATTGAAATTTAAAGTTTAAAGTTAAATTGACTGATTTGTGATATTTTAAGATAACCATTCCAAATTTTTCCCTCACTTCTTTCAAAAATTTCTTGTATTTCTTTCAGACAATTGTTGAATCATATTCCATCGCAGTTGTTGGTAAGTTATTACTCAAAATTAAATTCAATGTGATTTGATCTTCTTCTCCCAGATTGTATGCACCTACACTTACATATTGGCTAAATATTAAAAAAACTTCTGAGATTCTTCTGCTTCTACAAAGCTCAACCTGCTATGAAAATTAAGAATATGACTGCTCTCAATGTTGAAGTACAAAGGTGATCCATGCAGAATGGCAAATTTCTTTATCCATTATCTTGATGTCTTACAGTGACCATGTATACAGTGTCCTCAGTTATTGAAGCAGCAATGTTAACATTTGGAGTAACAGCAGCATTAACCATGTATACCTTCCAGAGTAAAAGAGATTTTAGTTCATGGGGAGCTGGGTATGTATTTCAAAGGCATATAGTCTGCTTAAAAAAAATTCCATTTGATAGAGCTCAATTCCAGCTATCTGTTTGGTGGAATATTTTCAGAAAATTTGACTGTCTATTACCTGTACCGGTACCTTATCTCAAATTTACAAATGTTCTTGATATTGTACAGTAATACTTCAACAAAGGCTTTTATTTATATTCTCATGGCCCTTTACAGGGAATAATTACTAAGCATAGAAGCAACAAAACAAATGAATAGCAAATGTCTAATATTCAATGTTTTTCAGTGAAATTTGCCTTTATTTTTTCAGATTATTTGCCTTTTTGTGGATTTTGATTTTGGCAGGATTCTTACAGGTAAATAGTTACATTCCTTTATCTTTTGGAATTTGTAAAAGTAACCAGAGAGCTGGTTGCAATGACTCTATACAATACCACATAGGACTAAAAGTTACTACACTATGATTTGATGAAATTAAAGCATTGCAGTTAAATTTTTCAACCAATTAAACACAGTTTGTAAAAAAAATTGTCTCAGACCATAAATGAAGAATCCATGACAAAAGAAAAGTATACTGTAATGAAAGCTTTTGCTCTGTTTTATTTTACAGATTTTCTTCCATACAGAATTTATGGATAAAATGATAGCTATTGGTGGTGCTATCTTATTTTCAATGTTTATTATTTTTGATACTCATCTTATCATGCATAAATTATCACCAGAGGAGTACATTATGGCCTCTATCAACCTATATCTAGATATCATCAATTTGTTTTTACACATTCTACGCCTTGTTGGCCAGAGAAATAACTAGATCTAAGATTTGTCACAGATGGTAGAGGATATCTAACTCTAAATTAACTCAATATAGCTCTGAATTCGTACTTGTTTTCCAATTCTGCATTTTTTGTAATTTTGTCAATATAAAATTATGTCGCATAAAACAACATAATGCTGTTTTTTTTTAGTGTTTCTATGATTGGAATTTCTTTTTTGTCACTATAAGTTGTTGAAACATTTGTAATTTGTAAACCATCTTAACAAGATTAATTAATACTTTTTGAAAATATTCCATACAAGATCTTGTGTTTCTATTTCCAATTATGTGTTTCTTGAATTTGGTTCTGGGTTCAATGATCATATATTGAGATCTGATTAATTATATTTTATTCTGGGTTCTGTATATAAATCTGTAATAAAACCCTAAACTTTCAATCAAAAATATAAAATCTTTATTAAACTATGGGTGTTAATGTTTGTCAAAGTATTTTCATTGTCTTTCAGTTTGGAGAAGGGTTTAATTTAGTTTATATGATTTATTATTTTAAGTAGGCCTAATAAATTCAGATTGAAACTGTGAAATTTGTTATTAAGAGAGGTGAGTTCTGCACATTCAGGATTTATGAAATCAACAGAACATGTTGGAATAGAGTTCAGAAAGCATTCCGAATAAATAGTAGTTGCAGACAGAATTCGAAAGGGTGGAGAAAAAATAGAGGGGAAAATTTTGAATGTGACATGACTTTCATACTGTTCGATTGGGGGCAAAATGGGAACAGATGCAACCTGTTCAGAACTCTCTAATCGAGCGCCACCATTGTCGAGATAGTTATGATATGATCAAGTCCAGTCCAATTCGTTTTAGGGTTGTTTAAGTAGTTTTCAACACAGTGTAAGTTCAGTCTATATAGTTTATATAACTTATTTTACCTAAAAAATAAAATGAACTGTTCTTGATTATGCTTTTATGGGAGCAGATGTATCATTGATCAACTTATTATTGTAAATTAAAAAAAATTGTGATTAAGAGGGTTGTAGTATCAACATTTTGTCATTATTGTAATGGATCATAAAATCATGATTATTTGGTGATGTAACATGATTTAAAACATGTATTGTAATATAGGAGTTATTTGTAATAATTTTGATTAATTTTTTGGATGTAAATAATAAATTTATATGGTTGTTAAAAATAGTGTTATTTATCGTATATACTACTAAAACCAGACAGATCACCTTTCACAGGTTAGATACAAGAGTCCTAAATAATGTGATCCCAATTTACAATATAGTATATCTGGTAACAATTCACAGTGTAAAACCCTGTGCACACTGAAGCTATCTTATCATTAAAGACTCATTTGCGACCATTTGCGTATCAGGTCGTTTTATGTGGGTTTAGATTCATTTTTTGAGGTGAAAAACTCAACATGTGTGCACTATGGTCAAGATATTACAAAGAACTGAAGATGGTAGTGCCACATTCAAATCTTATTTACTGGCCACTGATTCGCCCACAATTGTTCCATGCTCAATCTAGGATATATTGTAAAGATAACATGTCTGCTGTACAAGCTACCAACAATATAGCATGCTTTCTGTCTCAATACCATATTCTGGAAACGTTACAATATACCAGTACATATGCACAAACTACAATAATGTGCCACATGCCAAAATAACCTGTCTATTGTGCATTTGTCCAAATTCCAAAACAATATTACACGGGTGGTGTACAATATAACATGTCTCGTTTTTCAACTGCCAAATACCATTTCTTGTGTCTAGTTTATAGCATTTCGTCTCCTTACGAATACTACCAAAGCTCTTCAGTTTTTTATCATGCGGGAAACAATATTGCCACATTTGACCAAGATGTTATATTTGAGACAAATTTACACATTGTATCATTTTACCATTTGAAACACCCTGACATATTTTACAATGTTAGATCAAGTTGATATATTTTACAATGTTAGATCAAGATGATATATTTTACAATGTTAGATCAAGATGATATATTTTACAATGCTAGATCAAGATGATATAGTTTATAATGTTAGATCAAGATGATATATTTTACAATGTTAGATCAAGATGATATATTGTACAATGTAAGATCAAGATGACATCTTTTACAATGCTATATCAAGATGATATAGTTTACAATGCTAGATCAAGATGATATATTTTACAATGTTAGATCAAGATGATATATTTTACAATGCTAGATCAAGATGATATAGTTTATAATGTTAGATCAAGATGATATAGTTTATAATGTTAGATCAAGATGATATATTTTACAATGTTAGATCAAGATGATATATTGTACAATGTTAGATCAAGATGATATAGTTTATAATGTTAGATCAAGATGATATATTTTACAATGTTAGATCAAGATGATATAGTTTATAATGTTAGATCAAGATGATATATTTACAATGTT